GGAATGGAATAGAATAGAATAGAATAGAATAGAATAATGGAGTGGAGTGGAATAGAATAGAATAGAATAATGGAGTGGGGTGGAATGGAGTGGAATGGAATGGAATAGAATGGAATAGAATAGAATAGAATAGAATAATGGAGTGGAGTAGAGTAGAATAGAATAGAATAGAATAATGGAGTGGGGTGGAATGGAATGGAATAGAATGGAATGGAATAATGGAGTGGAGTAGTGTGGAATAGAATAGAATAGAATGGAATACAGCAAAACAAGAACAAGAATAGAACAGAACAGAACATTTTTTATTGGCCAAGTGTGATTGGATACACAAAGAATTCGTCTCGGTGCCTAAGCTCTCAGTATGCATACAAACAACAGAGTAATAAGTCATAGATCATAAATCATAAGATACAAACAACAAGCTGATAAATGATACCAATGGGAGGAGGTAGTAGGAAAGATGAGGAGATGAGAAGGATAATAGCAATAGAGCCCTACTTCCTGGTTAGTCATAAGACAGTGCTGTGAGAATTAGGTGCAGCACAATTGTATGGGGCGGGATGGGGGAAAACTATCTTTGTGCCTAGTTGTTTTGGCATGCAATGAAACTATAGCATAGCAAGTAGGTCACAAGTAACAAAACATTTAATGCTTTGAACTCAACTCCCATTCCTGGTTACTTGCCCTTGATAGTTAGCTCAGAACATCTCATGTGGTTTAAAGAATTTTGGAGATCTGTACATCCTATGCACAGAAGCGATGATTTTCCAGGGGAAGAACGTATACATCTCGAAAATTATATTTTGCTTTCAGAGAACCATTCTTCTTGGGAAGTTTTATCACTTGAGGATGTAGAAATATTCACCAGCCCCAAAAAGGAACCCCTCGTGATTGCATTCATTCATCTTGTCGTCCAAGAGGATCGTTTCCCTTGACCAAGTCCGCGCAGATAATTACAACACCAATATCATACTTCATTGCATGATATGGTCATTCGTTCAACTATTGCCAGGCATCTCTAGAAGGAGATGCAAATGGAAGCAAATCGATTCCCTCACATTTGTGCATTTTATGGTTGGTCGCACAGGTAGCGAGGTGTTTAGATTGGATTTGGCATTATTGTCCAAGCAACAAGTCCTTCCCCCCCCCCCNCCCCTCTTGATCTTGAGGCCCTAGGCTGAAGCCTAGTTAGCCTAGTTAGGAAAATCCGGCACTGGTTACGTGTATATATGTGAGAGAGTGTATGTTGAACATGCTGTGTTAAACTTCAGAGAAATTGAAGTCAAAATACCCTTTGATAGCAAAAAAGATACCTGAATTATTTTAACTACATGCAGAGGTAGTCCTCAAATTACAACAGTCCATTTAGTGATGGTTCAAAGTTACAATGGCATTGAAAAAAGTGACATATGACGCTTTTTCACTCTTACAACCATTACAACATCCCCATGGTCATGTGATCAAAATTCAAGACACTTGATGACTGACTCATGTTTATGACGGTTGCAGTGTCCTAGGATCAAGTGTTCACCTTTTATGACGTTCTGATTATCATTTAACAATCTTGTTTCTGACTTAACAGCTGCAGCGATTCACTTAACAACTGTGGCAAGAAAGGTCACAAAATGGGGCAAAACTCACTTAACATATGCCTTGCTTAGGAACAGAAATGTTGGGCTCCATTATAGTCCTGGTCATAAGTTGAGGACTACCTGTAATGGAGTAGGTTTTGTGTTGCTTTCGATTGTTGCTTTTTTCTCTGGCTCCACTTTTTTAATAGAGTAAAACCTCAATTTAATTCATGTGGAGGAAGGCTGTCCTTTATTTCCAAGGGCCTGTTAAATTTGAAAACACCATTTGTGCTATTTTAAGTCATTTGTATTAAAGGTATCTTCACACAAATGAGATAAAAGATCTGATACAATGGGAGCATTATCTGTTGCATCTGAAGTTCGTTGCATGTAACACCCACTAAGTTGAGATTGCCTTGTATATAAAAGCAAAGTATTTTTAGGAAGGAAAAAACAACAAGCAGAAATCATTATCTAGCTTGAATTAGGCAAGAGTTTGTTTTGTTTAAATAATTGTTCAGGACCAGAAAAGCATTTGAAAAGCATTTAAAGCTTTTACCTAACTCAGATTGCTTTCCTTGAACCTCTGTAGTCCTAGCATATGGTTCACAGATTTCTCATATAATCAGCAATAAGCTTTCTATCTTCTACTTACGTATGGAATTATAGTACAATCTGGACAGATTTCCAGACAATTAGAATAGCCTTTTCTCTTTAGTGCAGCATTAGGATTACCTCCAGCTGAATTCCATTAATGGGATATTCCATGCCCATTTAATTTACCTTAATTTATCTAGAGGGTGGAAATAATGATCACACAGTGGAAACGGAGAACAAAGTTAGGTGATTTACTGTTCAATTCCTCCCTTTGCTAATACATAATTCAGGGATTGGAATTGATGGGGACAGTATTGATAACCTCACTTCTTTTTATACGTTATATATTTATATTCAATATATTAATGTTTAATATAAACATTAAACAGTACCGTATAACTAAGGAAGACTTGTTCAGCAAGGCTCACCTCTTACAAGTTTGAAGATTTTTAGCAAACTATTTATTTTAGGCAAAGGAAGATTTTGACAGCCAGGGAGGCATCCAATTCCCAATAGCTCTAGTTTCTGTAGCCAAGCACCAGATATAGTGGAATTTGTAATTCAACAACAATTGGAGAGTGATCTTTTTTTTTTCTATAGAAAGCATTGCTTTAAAGTCTTATAATGATAGTAAGGACAAATACAGATAGTGAATAAGAACCAGTATATCTTACCTGGAGCTGAGCACAAATGAGTTTTCTCCATCAATTCTACATCCTATGAAATTTGTGAGCAAGGAGGTTAGGGGGATAAATTTTAAAAAATTCTGCAATGGGGCAGGAGGCTCTCATATGTTAAATTGAGCACCAGAAGGAAGAGTTTCCTGCTGTTCTTTTAACTTGTTTTTAATGCAAGCAGAAAAATCATGGTGTTGAATGACAAAAACATCACATTCACCTTTAACAATGGTCCACAATCTCTTTTCTGCTGATAGAATTTCTAATTGCAAATTCAACTAATTGCATAAAAATGGTATTTAAACATACTGAATTAATTTGCCTTCATCTCCAATCCTCTGAAACCACAGGCATGTTTTCTTAAAGAGCAAAATACTTAAAGACATGCAAAATGTGAATACATCCTGACCTATTGCAGAACAGCAGTGAGATATTATGAATATGCCATAGAGACATTAATTAACTTAATAAAATGCTGGTTTCCACAGCTACATGATGATGAGAGATTGCTGGCATGCGGTGCCTTCACAGAGACCTACTTTTAAACAGCTTGTGGAAGATTTAGATCGTATCCTCACACTTACAACTAATGAGGTGAGTAAAACAATTTGTCCTTAAACATTAAGTAAAGAATGGCAATAAGAGTTGTTGAGATAATCTGCGTACAATAGTTCACTGGCAACCAACATATTACAGAAAATCTAGATGCTGGATTTTCTTTATTGCACATTTGGCCTCATGCGACAAAACAAAATCTGAACACAGGGAATTCCTTTGGGATCTAGTAGAACACAGGTGGGGAACCATGGCCTCTTAATGAGCCGAGGTGGCGCAGTGGTTAGGGTGCAGTATTGCAGGCCACTTCAGCTGACTGCTATCTGCAGTTCAGCGGTTCTAATCTCACCGGCTCAAGGTTGACTCAGCCTTCCATCCTTCCGAGGTGGGTGAAATGAGGACCCAGACTGTGGGGGCGATATGCTGACTCTGTAAACCGCTTAGAGAGGGCTGAAAGCCCTATGAAGCGGTATATAAGTCTAACTGCTATTGCTACTGCTATTGCTATGACTTGTGGACTTCAACTCCCAGAATTCCTGAGCTAGCAGTCATAAATGGGCCATGGGTTCCCCACCCCTGTACTAGAATAAAATAACCTACAAGGTGCAAGGTAGGATAGGTAAGATAATTGGCCAAAAATATATTTGGGGATGGGATGATAGACACTTAAAGCCTTATTCTTCCCAAGTTTACTATTTTAATTTGTTACTTATACAAATAGAAAACAGTGGGGATGGATAAATGGCAGACAGAATGGATTTATTTAAATTGTGAATACATTCTCTTTCAATGTCCCAATAAAATTAGTTGAACTGTCTATTATATCACTCACATAATGCACTTACGATGAGTTAAAGGAACACTTTTATTTTCTTCTGTGCTTTTTAAGCTTTGCAGAGTCAAACAGATAGACACTTTGAAGAATCCATGCCTGATGATAATAATACTTGACTCTAGATGGTTATGCTGCAATAATTTTGATCTTCTAACTTTAGAATACTATCAACATTGACTGATGTGCGTAATCTATAAAGCACGTCAATGTGTATTTGCTCATCTTAACCCTAACCCTAAATCTCTTTCCCAAACACGTGCGTCCGTGTGTGTGTATGTGTGTGTGCATGCGCGCACACACACATGCACACACAAATAATTTAGAATCAAATCTTAGTTGTGCTCTACTTCTTTCGTTTTGCTAAAGGAGGATGCCCTAGAATTTTAGTATTTGTATATAATACACAAAGGAATCTGAATATTGTACTAGAATTTTAACCAGGAAAAAATAGGGAGGGATATGTTATGGCTAAGATATACAAGTTCTGAAACTTACATTTAATTTGAAATATGTTTTTTTTCCAAAGAGTTTTTGGAAGCTATTTGGAAGTAGGATACATTTGGATAATAACAAGGGAAAGATATTCTGGAATGTGACAGTTAAAATTACATATGCGAGCCTATGCCAATGGCTACCCCAAGTGTTGAAACCGAGTAAGAGTTATTGCGTAAATTGGTTCTAGCCCTGTATTGACCACATAAATCTGTTGAATCTACTGAAATCACATACATCCAATCTTCTTCTAATAGCTTCCTCCTCCCATTTGTGCCAAAAGTGTCCTGCTCCATCTTATTTCTCAAAGCTGTCATTCCAATTCATATGAGAAAATTATTACTTCTTTGAAGTCAGTGAGATCTTTGCCATTGACGGCAGAGAAGCCAGAGTTTAACCCTTCATGTTCTGATGAGATTCATCTTGTCTCTGGATAACATAGAGATAACACACACCAGACATGAAAAAAAAAATGCTTATGAGATACGGAAGTCATGTTAAATCAAAAGTTCCCTGCAATTTCTTTTATACTATGTGTTTTGCTCTTGTTTATTTTACATTGAATTTATCATTACCATCTTAACTATTTTGACTTTTTTAAATGGTAGACAGGAAAAGTGTTTGAAAACCTAGCTTGATACAATTGGTTTTTCTCATCTCGGAACCAAAATATGGCTTAGCAAATGAAACAATTGCATTTAAATAAAAAACAGCTGTTCCGCAGAAGTTGAAAGGGAGAAGAAGCAATTCAAGGAGAAAAATAACTTTATTCTCCTGCCAGAACTGTTATTTCTAGAAATGTTTTAATCTAGCTTTCAATTTGGTTGATCCAATGGCTGGTTTTGCTTTCATAGAAATGCAGTGGGCATTGTTCATCAATAGATGTTCCTTTGCATCCATTTCTTTAATATAAATGGCTTTTTTCAAGGAACACTCTCAATTCCTTGCGTGGTTTTGGCTGATTTCACTGATGCTTGCTTAAAAGAATGGCTCCGTTGATTGGGTCCCACAATTATTCATGTAGCAAAAACAAAACATATAAAAAAGTACATTGTACTGCAGCTCATTTACCCTCACTGAAATGTCAAGGTATTATAAAACAGTTTAGTTGAATGAAATGATCTTTCTTTCTGCAAATTATTTCCATGTGTTGGACAAAAATAGTTCTCCGTAGGGTGAAAATTTGTTTCTTTTTTTTTTTATAATGGCAAAACATTTCATTTGATGTGGTTAGTGTATGTGTTTCAAATAGTGTGGTTGAAGTTGATGTTGGAACATATACAGTACATATGCCTCAGAAATCCTTTTGCTGTTGTTTTCTTTTTTTTTGTATCTCCCTGAAAATACTTGGCTTTATGAGGAGTTGCTATTTCATTTTTATCCCATTCTTTTAATGGTGATTGAGAGCAGAGCAAAGGGGCCTTTCTCCTTCACTGTTCTCTTACCTACATACTATTTCTATGAAACCAGTGTATTGTTGTTTTTTTTAATTGAAAATTTTTGAAAAGAAAAAGCTTTTACAAATATTTACCTCCCTTCCCCCACCCTCCNAGTCAGCTGAAGTGGCCTGCAGTACTGCACCCTAACCACTGCGCCACCTCGGCTCTTTACCTTCCATTAACTTTTTTTATGACTGATAAATTTCTGCTTTATGACCAAAATCAGTTAGAACCTGCACACTACTGAGATAAATCAAGAAAGACACTCGTTTTCTCATTCAAGTCTGTTAGCAGGTAAACCAGCCTGTTCGTAAAAGTGCTCTTTGTTTGCTACTTAGCTTATCTTGAAGCATAAAACCATTTTAAGGCAACACATTGGCCTTTTTCAGGTTTCTCTTGCTTTACTCCGCAAAGACCTTTTATGAGCTTACATGAAAAACTGAATGGTACATTATAAATGCTGGAATGGTAGCCTTCGTTATATTTAGATTCCATTTTAATGGGCATGAGAGCCAGATTGCAAGCTGAGTTGTAGCTTTTGTTATTGTTGCCATTGCAAACTCTATAGTGCTGGTTTCAAGCCGCACCTAGGTAATGGGAAAGTTATATGTTGCCTTTATTTGATGAATGTCTTTCTAAAGGCAGTTACACCTTCCATTACAAATAAACCAAAGCCTTTAAAATCAACAAGATGGTGCTTTATCTTTGCAGTTATGAATGAGGAACCCTGGTAGCCAAGACTCAAAATCATATGATTGCTTGTTACATCTGTGTAACTGGGGGTTGTCTACCCCTCCCTAACAAAAACAAGCAACTTGTCAAATATCTCTTTTGAACCCTATCTGTGGGGTGCAAAAAGTCACTTGTCTGACAACTGGGACTAAGGAAAGAATGAAAGGACAAGAACTATTTAGAGAAAAGAAAAACAAAAGTTATCAGATGTGGGTTAGATCAGAGTGAAGAGATTTTTAGCTTGGGGAGATCAGATTTTCTTTATTTTACTTCCCAAATTCATAACCCAAAGTCAGAGCATAAATAATAATTCCCAAAAATGGAAGAATTTCCAGTTCAGAAGAATATGTAAATAGCAAAATTAAACAGAATTATTAATTTCTTTTGCATAATTCAATTTTCTAATATTATCAATATGGGCAGGAGAATTTTGTTGCTGAGGCTGCTGACAACCTCTCTTATTTATTGCAAATCAAGCAATAAATACTAGTAAATACAGTTGTGTTCTGCTCACTCATGTTATACAAAATATGCTACATATAGTTAAGATTAATTTTTGCTGGAAAAAAAATGTACTTCCCCCTTCTTTTCTTACATCTAATATTCTTTAATATGCTTCATGCTTTAAAACCAATTTTGAAAAAGCAAAGATACTGGAAGTATGATTTCTCTTTGATTAGATTGTATCTACTCAAAGCATATACGTGTTCATATGTTTAAAAGTGGTGGGTGAGAGTGAATGATGATGTGTGATAGTATCACCAAATACAAATGTATTCAATTGTGTACTTGCAACAGATGCAAAAATAAGTGTGGGTGGCCTTTTGTGTGATTAAATTATTGTGTGCATGGTATTCTTTTGGCATCATTATCTTAACTGCACATACTACGGCAATGTTTTTCTACCATATGCCCATGAGGTTGCTTTCATGTCATCCCTAGCCTGTCTCAACTATGCAGATGTTAAATTGTTACTTCAACATTGTTCAAGGGCAACCTAAAGGTGTACAAAATCTGTTAGACTTTCATTTGTATTTATGTGCAGGGAATGGGGTGAAAGCAGTGACAGATAAAGAGCCAAGGAAGGTAAAATAGGATTTATGTATTTTTCCTGTGTGTCAGAAATTATTTTAAGATGACAAATCCATTTAATGGGAACTTCCCCGTCCAAGTGATTTTCATTGGAAAGATAGCAATAGCAATAGCAGTTAGACTTATATACCGCTTCATAGGGCTTTCAGCCCTCTCTAAGCGGTTTACAGAGTCAGCATATTGCCCCNACGGCTTTGCGGAAAGCCTGAAGGGTGGTGAGGGCCCGGATCTCCATGGGGAGATGGTTCCAGAGGGCCGGAGCAGCCATAGCAAGAATTTATTAAGATAGAAAAAAACATTGTTCTAAAATATCTAAGAAGAATTAGAAAGATACTACAACGGAAGCTGCAACTATAGAACTTAGCTGTGATCAAAGAAGTGGAACCAGATTGATTTGATAATAACACATTGGAACTACCAGGATGTTTTCTTAGTAAGGAATGGTGACCATAATTTTTGGCAAGTGTCTGCTCAGAGGGGACAATACAAAATAAGATGTATCATTGTTTCAATTATTCCTTCATCGTTGGACACAGTCTCTGTTTAAAATGGATCTTTCAGTATCTCCCTTCAGTAACAGCAACTGGGAGGGCATTGAATCAGGCCAAGGATAAGGATCTTCTAAATGTGGGAACTGTTATGTGACTAAATTATCCACTTTTAACAAACACAATTTTCTATGAATTGGTAAAACACTACACTGGTATTTTTTAAATATTAATTTAATTTAACTTGCTTTGTAAAGGAATTTGTATATCTTTTCATGTGAGAATATTAGTAGCATCCAAGCCTCAAACCAAGAATACTTCATTTCAGATCCATTTCTTCGCTAGTGACTCTGAAATCCAACACTTCATTCAAACAATTATCTCCCCTAGCTGGACATGTATGGACATCAGGGCTTGATTATTTGTGTTTTTTAAAAGTATTTTGCAGTAAATACTCCTTAAAAACCTCTGATGTGATAAAAACACATAGTTATTGAGCTACTGTCTTACCTTCTTAGGCTATTTAACAGAATTTTGTGACTCTGGAATTGAAGGGAAAATCCACATTTCTTTCTTTCTTTCTTTCTTTCTTTCTTTCTTTCTTTCTTTCTTTCTTTCTTTCTTTCTTTCTTTCTTTCTTTNTAGTAGGCAAATCTTCCTTCTTCCAGTATTGCGCCACCAACAGTCTTACTGCCGTTATTGAATGCAGAATCAAGTTAATCTCTATAACAGTACAATCAGTAGTTATACCTAACAGGAATAACTGATGGGTAAACTTTATCCTTTTTTAAATAATATTTTGCATAATCCACCATAATTTTTATCCAAAATGCTTTAACCTTTTTACAAGTCCACCATATATGGTAATATGTAGCATTAGTGTATTGTTTATTTGTGAATGCATTTAATAAAAGCTTATTAAGACCAAAGCCCACACAAGCAATTCTTTATTATATATATATTTTTGAATCAACAGGAAATTAAACCCGTCTAATATAGCATCTATGTAAAACCAGCTTAAAAAGCTATTTAAACTCACTTAAAGTTAATCAGCACTGCAGTTAACGGCACATTAGGTAGGATGGAATTCTGCAAAGAAAGATCTGTGAAAATGCCCTTTCTTTTTCTTCTTCCCAAATAATTTGAACTTAATGGTGAATACTTTTGCAAAGCTCATGTAGCCATCTTTTGGGGTTTAAGCAGCTTTGTGTAGCTTTAGGTAGTCTATACCAGTCTAAGCCTTGAGATAATAAGCAGCTCAAAGTCCTCCAGTAATTTTCATATAAAGGATGTAAATTGTAAAGAAGAGACGCCTGTGACCATTAACTCATGTGAAAGGTCTCCACTTGTTTGTTGCTACTTTGTGTGTGTCTATTAAACCACACGATGCATGGTACCATCTTAAGGCAATACAAGATTGACTTGCTTGTTTATTTTTCATTTCAGGAATACCTCGACCTTAGTGGGCCACTGGAACAGTATTCGCCTAGCTATCCAGATACCAGGAGTTCCTGTTCTTCAGGGGACGATTCTGTTTTCTCCTCCGATCCCATGTCTTATGAACCTTGCCTCCCTAAGTACCAACACATAAATGGAAGTGTCAAAACATGAAAAGAACTTCTGCCAATTCCACAAAGGAATGAAACCACAGCATCTACAGTATTTACCACATGAAAAAGAGTCTCTTGCTTTAGACACACACAAGATTTTCTTGTGCATAAGAAAAACCAAAATTGGGGAAAAGTTGCCTAATTATTGCAAAAAAGAAAAGCAGTAGCTTGGAACATCACCCAATATTACGAAGAGAAGAATTTTCATGGGCCATTTGTGGATGCCCATGAGCAAGTTAGCTCTTCGGCCTGAAGCCAAAACAGCCTTTCTAAAGTCAATGGACATGTTGGACTTGAGGCAAACTTCAGACCAGCCTTCTTTGTTAATTTTGTAATATTTTGAGAAAATATATGTTGACACACACTTACAGAGCACAAATGCAATATATAAGTGCTGGATGTATGTAAATATAATCAAATATGTACAAATATATATTATATATTTACAATGAACTATTTTTTTGTATTGATTTAAAAATGCATCCTCCCCCCCTTCGAGGAAATTAATCTTTCTTTCTTTTTTAAAAAAAGAAACCGCTATTTGTAACTACATTTCTTGCATAAGACCTTTTTTTTTCCAATCCTCCATGCCCTCCTCCTCCTCCTTCTCCTTTCCCCCCTTCTTCCTTCAAATCCAAAGGTGAAAAATATTTTACTTTCAGGGAAAAATGGTATATCATTAATTTATTAATTAATTGGTAATGTACAAAACAATTAATCTTTTATAGGGGTTGTGTTATGTTGTAATTTAAATGGCATTTCTATGCAGACAGCACAAAGAACTAGTAGATATATTGCTCAAAAGTTACTAGTTGTCAATTTTTTTTAAAGAGAGAAATATTTACAGTATATAACTAATTCTGGAAATTAATGTTCTGATTAACTTGGGTTTCAAATGTTGAATGAGAAGCTGTTGCTTTAACTAAAACCAAAGCTCTCAAAAATAAAAACGTGTCTTTTATCAACAAAGTATCTTTTTATTACTCTCTTCAGTTCTTGCATTGTTACTCTTCAAGATTGGGACTGCTAAAGAACAAGAAACATAGCCATTTAGAAAAGCATTCATCTCACCTTTTCCCAATTTATAACTAGGAAATTATTTAATGGGGTGGACACAAATAGGGACTGAACAAATTTTAGACATAGCAATAGCAATAGCAGTTAGACTTATATACCGCTTCATAGAGCTTTCAGCCCTCTCTAAGCGGTTTACAGAGTCAGCATATTACCCCCAACAACAATCTGGGTCCTCATTTTACTCACCTTACTTAAAATAAGAATGTACTCTAACTTGTCTAAAATTTTCTACAATCTTAAAGTGTCCTCAGACATGCATTTGACTAGAAAGTATTGGTAGTCCTCAATTGAGCCCCAAATTTCTGTTGCTAAGTGAAACATTTGTTAAGTGAGTTTTCCCCATTTTATGACCTTTCTTGCCATAGTTGTCAAGTGAATCACTGCAGTTGTTAAATTAGTAACACGATGAATCTGGTTTTGACTTTGCTTGTCAGGTCACAAAAGCTTATCACGTGACTCCGGGACAACTGCAACAGTTGCCAAGCATCAGAATTTTGATCATATGACCCTGAGGGATGCTGCAACAGTCATCAGTCACTTTTTCTGTGCTGTTGTTACTGTGAATGGTCACTAAATGAACTGTTATAAGTCGAGGACTACCTGTACTAAAGTTTAAAGTTTAATAACATTTATATGCCGCCCAATCCCATAGGACTCCGGGCGGCTAACAACACAAATAAATCAAAAAGAAGAGAAGGAAAGAAAAGATATATTTAAAAAACACACCATGCACTCCGTTCTAAATGGGGCTGGACCATATTTTGGGGTCAACAGCCCCAGGCCTGCCGGAACAGCCAGGTTTTAGTGGCTTNCTTCGCGCTTATGTCTCCGCGGATAAGGGCTTCACGGATTTGTGGTGGAACCAAATTTAATAAGCTCAGAATGGTTAATATTCTGTCTCCTTTAAGAATCTGTGTTCATTATTGTATTTTCTTACTGCTATGTTAATATTCAAAGTAATATTTATTTTTATTTTATTCTAGTTTTTATCTGGTGTAGCTTATAAATTATTACATGGCCTGAGATCCCTCTGGCAAGAAGGCTGTAAATATTGTGGGGGGGGGGACATTAAATGTTATGATGGCAGGGATATTATGAAATAGCTGCATGAATGAATCTTTCTGAATGTTCAAATATATTTTATTATGTCTAGGACTTAGACTGCATGAAATAAATCCCCTCCTCCTTAAAAAGAATGTAAGTATGGTTCACTTTTAACTATTGCTTAGCTAATGATCTTTGAGAATACATGCTCAATGTGGTAAACACTGGATATGTAAAGATAACATATAAAACTGGAGTGACTACAAGTTCAAATCTTATATTGGACCAAAGTAGGAGAAAATTAGAAGTATTGTAAATATAGGGCAGGGTGTGAATCTATTTGGTGCACAAGTAATAAAGAAAAGATTTTGACTATTATCCGATTAGACTTTTAAAATTAAAATTAAAATTAAAAAAATAAAGATTAAAAAAGAATGCACATGTTTCAGCCAAGGGACATTTCCAGTAGCATTTCATATGGCTTGAAAAATCCCAAATAATTTGCAGGAGATGGGGAGAAAGTCCATCAGCACATTGCTAATACTTGTTTGTTTTTTTTTGTACTTAATAGTCAACTGACTAAAGTTAAGAAGGAATTATTTCCATCTAGATACTCTGCTTGTATTGCAATGAAAATATAAGGAGATTGATGGAATAATTCTGAAAAACCTGCATGTAATTATATCTTCTAGTTCTAAACAAAGGCTGTCTTTGACTACTGGTAGTTAATCCTGTAACCTTACATTTATTTACCTGATTGTCAGTCTTATTAAACCCAGGGGAAGCTTGCAGAATTGTATCATGAACATGTCTGAGTGGTAAAATTGGGGGGTTGGGGGTGAGGCTTTTGCTTACTCTTAAACTTTGGGGACAAACTGAATTTTAATTCATTTTGTTGGATGGATCTAAAGTCCTTTCCCGTAGCTGCTGGATCCCATCCATGAATTCCACAAGCCTTCTGAAGCATGACCTTCCCTTTTAAGTCTTGCTTGTTATCTAATCAAATTTTTCTACATGATCTCTCTCATTTCATTTTACTTTATTAAAATAGTCCCATAGATTTTTTTAAATCCCATTTATAACTTCTGGAAGTTTAACGGATATACTTTTCTTGTGTGCCTTTTGTGTGAGATGAATTATTCTTCCTTTTTTATATCTCTTGTATGCATATGGAGTTTATTGCAAAAATTTCCAAATATTCATTAAAAGGCTCAAATCTCTGGAGGTTAGCTAGGGAAAGAAATTGGAAGTTATTCATCTGTAGGACTATCTGGAGGCCCAAAGAACATATCCTCTATATATGCATGAAGAACCCTTTAACATACAACTCCTGGAAAAAATCTTTAAAATACAGCTTTAAAAAAACAATACTATTGTCTTTTAAAAAGACAATATTATTTTCATCTAGATATGTTTGTCAATTAATGTTTACTTAAAGGACTTGTCTTATATTGCTATGCACTAAATTTAAGCCATTTTTAGGCAGTTCCTTGATTCAGAACACAAGAATGGAAGTAAATACATTTTTAATCGGCTGCTTTATCCCCTCACAACACAAAGATGAATAAAAGTATTAATGTTTATGTCAGAAAACCACTTTTATTAAATTTTAACACATTTGATTTGTTCCTTGACTAGCAAATAAAGCAAGGTTCAAGGTTTCAAGGTTTATTACACTTGTATGCCACCCTACTCCCGGAGGGACTCAGGGTGGCTAACAAACCGAAGGGGAAGGGAATAATACAGACAAAAAAGCAAACAAACAAACAAACAACAAATATGGAAACAATTTAAAAGCAGTCAACAGCCACACAATTCGAGTGGGGATGGGAACTCATCAGCCCCAGGCCTGTNAGTTTTATAAATATGAGCATGATAGTGTAGAATAATCATATCCAAGGACCAGTGGTGGGTTTCAAATTTTTTTTGAAACGTGTGTGTGCTGTAGGGCAAAATTGCAGTTTGCATCCAGCATCTCAATTTCTTCAAGAATCTTTGGATGCTTTGTTGACTGCTTTGAGATCAACCAGAGATATGAAAATGTAGTTTCCTTAATAGCATGCCTGACTGCTTGGAAAAATATTTTTAAAGGCAAAAGAAAAGAGAAGCATTTCTACATACAGAAAGAGAGAGAACTTTACAATGAAAGAAAGGAAGACATGAACATTAAACTTTAGAGCTAATCAAGATTGGATTTGAAGCAAAAAGTACTTCAGATTGTGTTGGGTGCATTTTGTTCAACTGGCAGACAGAACATTAAAGCTTCCACATTCTCCAAATTCATTTTTGTTTTCAGATCTGCAGCACTGCTCTCCCTATTTGTGTGTGTGTTTTTGTGTCTGTGTGTGTATTCTTATTTTTCAGCATAACACATGAGATAATTTTGCCTTCCAGCTTCTTCATGGTAATTTCTGCAGATCTGAGTTTATGTAAATTGATACCCTTTTTTGCGCTTAATATTGGGTGAACCATGGACAATGTAAATAATACTGAACATTTGATACAGCAACCATTGCACACTGACACTAAATTGTAGTGACCAAGTGATAGTTACTTTCAAATAAGTGTGCATAGCATTCCATTGCACAATTTTTACAGAAAGTTTAAAACAGCCAAATATCGGAAGCAAACATGGCTGATTTTTCACAATGCCAACTCTATTTAATGCTTGGTAGCTTCTTTAATAATAATGATTTCCAAGGAGCTTTTCCGGGTGCACCATTGTAGACACAATACCTGTTAAATTAATACCTATTAAAATAGTCAGTAAAAGCAGTTTACTGAGAGGCAGAAGAGCTTGGTGAAGTGTTGGCAGAAAATGAGGTTTGTTTTATCCCTGAGCATCACCAATAGTTTTTTTCCCTTTTAAATTCTTTGTTTCGTGCTCTCTAAAAAAAATATTTATCATGATTTCTCTGTTTCAACTCCTATAACTACAGACTCTGTAAACAGTTGGAGTACTTGAGAGCAATTGATAACCTATATTAAATGGTTACATTTAAAATCACAAAAAGACTCAAGAGATTCAAATTAGCCCTTTGTAAAAATTTGGAAAATCTCCTGCCTGTTAATCCCAGCTTGGCATTCCTCACTAAAATAGCTACACCTTCATTTTTGCAGATGGTTGGAAAATAGTTTCTCTATAAAAGTTTCTATAATTAAAATGTGTCCATATTTCTCCAATAATCGTATAGTTAAAAGGGTTAACTTTTCTACTGCTGTTCATTATCCACCCTTTTCCTTATGCAACCTTGAAAATACTGAGAAATACTCTTACTCTGAAAAGTTTTGAATGCTCAGATTATGACACTGAGGCCAAATATTAGT